GTGGACCTGTGGGATATGCTGGGATCCTGGGGGAAGGGAGGTGGACCTGTGGGATATGCTGGGATCCTGGGGGAAGGGAGGTGGACCTGTGGGATGTAATGGAATCCTGGGGGTTGGAAGGAGGACCTGTGGGATGTGCTGGGATCCCGGTGGGAGGAGTGGACCCATGATGTACTGGGATCCATGCTGGTCAGGCAGGTGCAGTTATGGGCTCTGCTCTGAGGCTGAAGGCAGAGGGAGAGGTCCAGTGATGCTTTATGGGTTACATCCCACTGAACAGTTTGGGGAGCTTCAGTGGCTTCCAAAATGGAAGTTATAATTTCTGCTGTTAGGTCCCACCTTGTTACAAGATCTCTGGGGTGTCGCTTTTCTGGCCAGAAATGTCTATGGTGCCAGTGTGCCTTTGCCTGAGTTCTTGTCCTGCATCCAGGAAGAATGAGGTAAGCAGACAAGTGGAGGGTGAGCAAGACAAAGAGGAGCTTTACTGAGTGTTAGGACAGTTCAGAGGAGACCCGCAGTGGGTAGCTTCTCTCTGTAGGCAGGTCGTCCCATCAAGTGTTCAGCTCTCAGGAGAGAGGAGGCCCTGGAGTCTGGGGCTCCTCTCTGAAGGCAGATCATTCAACTGTCTCTGCAGCTCTCAGCAAAGAGGAAGCCCTGGAGAGGGTTGTTCTCTGCAGCTGGTTATTCTGACCAGCTCCTAGCAGAGAGGAGGCCCTGGAGTAGGTTGCTTCTCTCTGCTGCTGGTCCTCTGATGTCTCCAGCTATCAGCAGAGAGGGTAACTCCTCTCTGCAGCTGGTCATCCCATCTGCTCTGCTCTGGCTAAGCCCAGGGCTTTTATGGGCCTCAGAAGGGAGGGAGTGAGCACCAGTGGGTCCATGGGTGGCCACAGGTGGGCCTGGAAAAGGCACCACAAGTTCCTACTATGGTCCCACGGGATGGGCAACCGGTCCCCAGCCTTCAGGCCCTCCCCGACCTGAAGGTGGGGACTCACCGTGGACCTGCCCACTTCTGCCCAGGAGCCTGTCTGCCTCCTGCTGCCCAGTTCATGGCACCCAGGCTGTTCGCACCAAGGGGCACCTGCAGGCCAGTGCAGAGCCACCCTCACCCCCGCCCCTTGTCTTTCCCTCCTGCGCTCATGGGTGCCCAAAGTCTGGAGGGGGCTGAGGCGGCAGGGTGCTGTCGTGTCCGTGCTGCCCTGAGTGTGCACACTCCCGGCCAGGCTGTGACAGTGCCCAGGCGTGGCCTCAACCCCGCTCCAACACCGCTCCAACCCCGCTCCAAGACTGGAGCAGGCTCCGGGAGCAGGGAGAGGCCAGGCAGCCCGAGCAAACACCCGTGAGCCTGCGGGGACACGGGAGCCTTCTCAGGCCCCGGAGGGTGCAGACTGCAGAGACACCCAGGTCCCGCACCTGGGAGGGCGACTGTAGCAGCACCCCGGGAGCTCCTGCCCTGCCAACTCAGAAGGGGTGGTGAAGCCAGGCAGTGGGATCAGGCACTTCCGAGCCTATGGGTGCTGGGGGGGGCCTTCTTGGGCCCCCAAGAACACAGATTCTCGGGTCTGCAGCCGGACTTGGGCAGCTGCAGCAGCATCCAGGGAGGGGGGGCTCCTGCCTGCTCCATGGAGCAAGAAGCTTGGGCCACGCCTCCCTGCTCTAGATAGTCTGTGCAGCGGCCACTCTAGATGGGCCGCTGCTGCCATCAGCATCACTGCTCTGAAAATCCTGTTTTAAGTCTCCTCCGTGTCAGATTGACTTTATTTGCACCCTTTCAATCTCAGCATTTTCAATGCTGTATTCTGGGCGATTGCTGGGGCTCTAACTTCTGCGCCGTGCATTCCTTCTTCATGATGTGTATGCTGCGGCTCAGCCCATCCTTTCAGTTTATGCTGTTGATCAAATATTAACGTCCATGATTTCTGTAAGACACTAATGTCCATGATCTCTGAAAGTCATAATTGTGCGCATCCAGTCTTAGGGTTTGTGTTGCACCCCTTCTCCTCTCACTTGCCATTGATGCTTCTCTGGCTCTGCTGTTTGATGCCTGTTGGGGTCCCTGAGATTCCCGGTGGCCCGCATGGGGATGCTACCTCTGTTTACTGCACCCTGCCTGGAGAGAGCGAGCCGGCAGGCTGCCAGGCTGTACCGACTGCTGCCTCCAGCAACTGATGGGGATGGGCAGGATGTGAGGCCAGCTGGGATCCGTGGGGACCCCTCTTCCTCCTGGCTTTCTCCAGCCTCCTGGCCTGCCCTGCCTCTCTGCCCTCAGGGCTTGTGTGTTCTGCCTGAGGAGGGGCACACATTTCTGCTGTTGCTGCCTGGGTTGGGTGGGTTAACCCCTTGCTATTCCCACTGTGGTTATCTAACTCGACAGCTCATCAGCTGTTTCAAGCTGCTGCTTTTTAAGTATAATTTTATTTATTGATTGATTTTTGTAGAGATGGGGTCTTGCTCTGTTGCTCAGGCTGGTCTCGAACTTCTGGCCTCAAGCAATCTTCCTACCTCAGCTTCCCAAAGTGCTGGGATTGCAGATGTGAGCCACCAGGCCTAACCTCATTGGCTCTTTCTAGGTCACTTTGTGTCTCCACTCCTACCAGGGCAAGGCATATCCCTGGAGCCACCCTCCATTTTCTAGCTGCCCTCTCTTGGCACATTTCAGGCTGTGGCGTCCATCTTCAGTCTCATCTCAACTGTTTTCTCTCTGGGATTTCTCAGGGTTCCCTTGTTTCCGTGCAGCTGTGGAGTTTCCCATTTCTGAGCCTCACCTTTCGCATGTTAGGGATTGGATGTGTGTGTGTCAGGGGTCGGGCCAGGCTCTCTGGAGCCACCAGCCATCCTGCCCTTGCCTGTGTGGAAACTCTGCTTCTGCCTCTCCCTCCCCTGGGAGGTACGCTGGCCAGGGGCCCATGGGAGCCTCACCTCCTGTGACCTCTCGGAGCACATCTCTCCATGGAACAGCACTGGTTTCCACCCTATTTTCTTGCTGTTCCTTCTTAAGGTCCTATGTGACGTCTGTTTTCTCCTCACCCTGGTGCCTTCAGGTGCTGCCCACAGGCCAGCGACTCATCAGTCTCCCCAGCAGAGGCTGCCCGTGGGACTCTGGGCCTGTGTCCCAACCCAAGCCTGCCTCCCCTCATCTTCTGTCCCCACCTGCTCTTCACAGTGTGCTCCTCATCTGGGGGAGCATCTGCCAGACGCAGACCTGGGCGGTCATCCTGGGTCTGCTTCTCTCTCACTGCCCGCACCCAGCCAGCTACCAACCCCTAAGTCCTGCTCTCACGTGTCACTTTCTTTCTGTCCCTACTCTAGTGCTGCCCCTTGGCTGTTGGGCTGGGCCTCATCCTAACCTGCCTTCTTCCCTGCTGGCCTGAGGAATTCACCCGAGAGCAGAGCCTCTTCCTTCTCACACCTCTGCCTAAAAGCCCTGCTGGCTCCTGCTGCCCTGCACGATGAACCTACCATGCCACATCACAATCTGCAGCTCTGGCCTCCCTCTCTGGCCTCCCCTCAGTACTTCTCTTCCTGCCACCGCTGTGACCTCACCAGGCCACTTACTCTTTCCTGTACAAGCCAATCCCTTCCCAGGGACCAAAGAACATGGCACCAGGCCTGATGTGGTTTTTGGAACAAAGTCAGGTGATTTTGATATAACATTGTCAACATCAATTAACATTTTAAAACTTTTCCCCTGAACCTTTTCAGATATAACTGGTAGAGCACGTCAAAGATATACAGAAATAACCAGAGAAAAGTTTGAGGCATTAAAAGAAGAAAATATGCACCTAAACAATACGAATCAAAGCCTTACCCTTAAACTAAACACAGTGAAACAAGCAATGAAAGAACTACAGTTAAAACTTAAAGGAATGGAAAAAGAGAAGAGAAAACTCAAAGAGGCTGAGAAGGCATCGTCACAGGAAGGTGGGGACGGACAGTGCCTTTATTAGAGGAATGAGCAGGACTTCACTCAATTATTTTGAGAGTTAATATTTTATGTCATGATATTTGTTGATATTTGTGTTGGTAATTTATGCTGTAATATTTCAGGTTTTTTTGTTACTATCTTTACGTTTGTTGAGATTTGATTTCATCTGCTATATCATTATTACACTAAAGAAATTCCTCAGGTTGGAAAGAAGCTGAATTTACAAAAATAAAGAAATTCCAATACTTCTTTTGGAACTTGATGCTTAGCTTACATATATTTCACTTCAGTTTTTATCTGCAAGAGAAGCATATAAAAATTCCTCCTTTACCATAAACTTATCAATGATTATATTTTCCTTGCTAATTTGATAGGTTAAAAAAAGAAGTAGTATTTAATTTGTATTTCTTTTATTATTGATGAACCTGAATATTTTTTCATATCTTTGCACGTCATTTTCTTTTTCTTTCGTAAAGCTATCCACTTTATTTATTTATTTTTTAGAGACAGCATCCCACTCTTTTCACCCAGGTTGGACTACAGTGGAGTGATCAGAGCTCACTATAACCTTGAACTCCTGGGCTCAAGTGATCCTCCCACCTCAGCCTCCTGATGGTGAACGCCATCATGCCTGGCTAAGCTTTTTTTTTTTAATAGCAATGAGGCCTCGTTGTGTTGCCCAGGCTGGTCTCAAACTCCTGACCTCAAGGATTTTTCCTCCTTAGCTGCTCAAAGGGCTGGGATTATAGGTATGAGCCACTATGCATGGCCAAGTTGCCCACTTTACATTGAGACACTTGACTTCTTTTTATTGATTTGCAGGAACTCCTTACATATGAAAGATTTTATCCCTTTGTCATAGGTGTAATATTTTCTTAGTTTGTTGATAATTGGGCTAAATCTATAAAATGTTTTTCTTTTATGACTTATACCCTTGGCATTAAGTCATTTTTAACTCTGAAGTTATAAAAATATTCACCAATATTTTCTCTATACCTTTTTCTATTTATATAAAACTAATAATATAGCTTTAAGTAAGGTGGTATCAGTTTTTTTCATATAGACCCTGTGTAATTCTTATCTTAGGCACATTTATTTTTAGACACTGTATATTATTTGTGCTGTTACCTTGTGGGATCTATTTTCTGTTTTGTTTTCTAATAGGACATTGCTATTATGTGGGAAGGTTATTAGCTGTAATACGTTTTCCATGTATTCTATATGATTTTTCAAAGCACATATTTTTATGTCATCTGAAACATGACTATTCCTTTCCAACTTGAAACTTTTATTTTACTTTATTGTACATGCAAAGACTTCCAGAAACTTCCAATATGTTAACTATTCAGTGTTTAAAAATGTTGTAACTTTTATTCATTCACACACACACATAGACACAACATACACACACAGACACACACACACGCAGTTCATTGCCTCTGAGAGTGAAAGAGGGAGGAAAAGCAAATGATTTGCAATTTAAATAAAATCTGGATAAATCTGACATTATTTCTTATAGTATAATGTTAAATTTTTTTTCCCTAGTTGCTGCACCTGAATTACTTTATCTGCGAAAACAAGCTCAAGAACTGGTGGATGAAAATGATGGATTGAAAATGACTGTCCATCGTTTGAATGTAGAACTCAGTCGATATCAGACAAAATTCAGGCATTTGTCCAAGGAAGAGGTAATGTTTCCAATTGTGAAAATCAGCTTTTTGGATTTTTTAGCCTTTACTGCTGAATTGATTTCCGATCTTGAGAGGTTCTTATTTATTATAATTTGATGTAAGAAAAGCTGTGTCCAAGGCACAATGTTTCTAAGAACCATTCTATTTTTTGCCTTCTTCCCTCCCTTTTTCCGCATAATAAAGGCAATAAAGACTAAAACATTGAGACAATACAGAAGCGTACAAAGTAAAAGAGGCTGGATGAGGTGGCTCGTGCCTGTAATCCTAGCACTTTCAGAGGCTAAGGCTGGAGAATTGCTTGAGCTCTGGAGTTTGAGACCAGCCTGTGCGACATAGCGAGACCTAATCTCTACAAATAAAAGATTTTTAAAACTTAGCTTAGCCTGGTGGCGTATGCCTGTAACCACTCAGGAGGCTGAGAAAAGAGGATCTCTTGAGCATGGGAGGTCGAGGGTGCAGTGAGCTGAGATCATGCCACTGCACTCTAGCCTGGGTGACAGAGCAACACCCTGTCTCGAAAATTAAAAAAAAAAAATAACAAAAGTAAAAGAATGAAAGTCTGTGTCGGCTGCTCCTTTCTCAGTCACGTTCCTGGAAGTTGCAGCTGTTGTCAGTGCATGAACTTGGAAAGGAAAGCAGAGTTTTCAGTTCTAAGAATAGTTGCAGAGTCCAACTCCACACACTCTCACTGAGCAGGTCACTGCATGAGATGCTGGGAGGAGTGCCAGATGAACCAATGCTCAGGTCCTTACTCTTACAGAGCTCGGGGCTATGAGGATGTGAGCAACACTGTGGATACAGGAGAGGGAGGCACTGCTGGCTGGGCTCTTGCTGGGGTAGAGGGCGGGGAGGCACACGGTGTTCTCCCGCAGCTCCTGGGAGTTCAGGCCTCATGGGCTTCTGAGTTGCTTTTTGAAGGAGGGCTTACATTTCACTTTTTGTTTTTTTTTAATAACAGCTTTGAGATATAATTCACGTAGCATCCAATTCATACCCATTTTAAAAGTGTACCATTTAATGGTTCTTATTGTAGTCACAGAATTATGCAACCCTCACCACAATCAATTTTAGAGCACTTTTGTTAAATCAAGAAATATCAGCTGGGCATGGTAGCTCACATCTGTAATCCGAGCACTTTCGGAGGCTGAGGTGGGCGGATCATTTGAAATCAGGCATTCGAGACCAGCCTGACCAACATGGTGAAACTTCATCTATACTAAAAATACAAAAAAATTAGCCAGGTGTGGTCATGTGCACTTGTAATCCCAGCTACTTAGGAGGCTGAGGCAGGAGAATCGCTTGAACCTGGGAGGCAGAGGTTGCAGTGAGCCGAGATCATGCCTCTGCACTCCAGCCTGGGTGACAAAGAGAGTGAGACTCCATCTCAAACAAACAAACAAAAAAAAAGTGTCATACCTGTTGGGACTCACTCCCTACATTCCCCTGCTGCCCACTTCCTCCAACTCAGCCCCTGGTAACCACTAATCTATTTTATGTCTCTATTAATTTGCCAATTCTGAACATTTCATAGAAATGAAATCATACAAGACATGATTTTGTGTGACTGACTTTCACTTAACATAATACTAACTTTTAAACAAAAACAAATAAAGTTGTTGGGGTCCTATAATTCAAAACCTGCTTGCTAGGTCAGGGCCTTCTGCAGGACTGTGGGGCAGGTAGACAGGCCCAGGGACAGCCTCTTCCCAAGTTGTCTTCTGCCCCGTGCAAATGCCACGTTCTCCATGACAGTCTTCCCTGATCAACCCAGACAGAAGTGATTGGTCTCTGTCTTTTTTTTTTTTTTTTTTTTTCAGACACAGTCTCTGTCACCCAGGCTGGAGTGCAGCAGCATGATCTCAGCTCACTGCAACCTCTACCTCCTGGATTCAAGTGATTCTTGTTTCTCAGCCTCCTGAGTGGCTGGGATTATAGGCGTGTTCCACCATGCCCAGCTAATTTTTGTATTTTTAGTAGAGATGGGGTTTCACCATGTTGGCCAGGTTGGTCTCGAACTCCTGAGCTCAAAGGATCCACCCTCCCCAGCCTCCCAAAGTGCTGGAATTACAGGCATGAGCCACCATGCCTGGCTCTCTGTCTCTTTTAAACAATTGCAGACTTTTGTTTGTAATCACTCTTAAGGCACTTATAGCATTTTACCGTATACTATTTTTGTATATCATGTTCATTTGTGTTAGTGGTATTTATTTCTGTTACTAGGTCATATAATCCTTGAAAACAAGGGTTGCGTTGCAGTGTCCATAATGATTTAGCGAGTTGCCAACGTTTGCAGAGTGAGTGAGTAATTACCTAGATACTAAGGTGTTCACGTTGGAAAGCTTTTGTGAAATAAATGATTATTTTGTCCAGGCCATTGATTCTGTACCAGATTTTCCCTCCTGCTGTAAACAAATAGAAAACCAGACAGAATATGTAATGCAAATGTTTACAGATGTCAAACAGCAGGCAGTACCGGCCTATGACCCTCAAGAGCAACAGGATAAATAGATGAGCCTGTGATCTGCTTCCTGTCAGGAGGCAGTCTCAGATCACAGAGCAGGGAAGAAGGGCTGGAGCTGAGCCCTTCCCTGAGTTCAACAGAGATGAGAGTCTGGGGAAGCTGAGGAGACTAGAATTTGTATGGCAAGAGTACTGGAAACAAGGGAGTCCTGGAGAGAAGGAGCTACTTATATAAATCTACATGGGCTCCTTGGAGTCTTGTGGAATACCACCCTGCACATGTGTAGGATGAGACTCCAAGAGACTGGGCAGAAAATAAGAATAGGGAGCTGTGAGCTGCATGGTTCCCAGAGCTCACACAGCACTGGGAACCTTCAAGTTCTGCCCAGCCGCAATGGAGAGACCTTGCATTGAGTCAAGAGCACAAGAGGGCCATGCCTGAGAGGTATGGCTCAAAGAGCTTTTTAGGAAAGGTTACTACAGACCTACCATGACCAGGGTGAAAAAACAAGCCTCAGAAGCATGAAGGGGATCCACAAGCAACTTAGGAGCTGAAAGAAAGAGAGAGAGAGAGAGAGAGAGAGAGAGAGAGAGAGAGAGGAGGGAGGAAGGAAGGAAGGGAGGAAGGAAAAGAAACCAGTACTCGTTAAAGGAAGATAACAAAATCCAGCCACTCAACACTGTGACATTAAAAAGTTCCATATCCAGTGAAAACAGTCACTAGATATGTTCCAGATTTTAAAAGACTAAAAAGGGCTGGAGGCCAGGTGCAGTGACTCACACCTATAATCCCAGCACTTTGGGAGGCTGAGGCGGGCAGATCACTTGAGGTCAGGAGTTCGAGACAAGCCTGGCCAATATGGTGAAACCCTGCTTCTACTAAAAATACAAAAATTAGCCAAGTGTGGTGGCACACATACCTGTAGTCCCAGCTACTCAGGGAGGCTAAGGCATGAGAATCTCTTGAACCTGGGAGGCAGAGGTTACAGTGAGCTGAGATCATACCGCTGTACTCCAGCCTGTGCAACAGAGTGAGACTCTCTCAGAAAAACAAAAACCAAAACAAAACAAAAAGGGCCAGGTGTGCTGGCTCATACTTGCAGTCCCAACACTGTGGGAAGCTGAGGCAGGAGGATCACTTCAGCCCAGGAGTTCAAGAGAAGCCTGGGCAACATGGGGAAACCCCATTTCTACAAAAAATACAAAAATTAGCCAGGTATGGTGGCGTGCACCTGTAGTCTGAGCTGCTCAGGAGGCTAAGGTGGGAGGATTGCTTGAGCCCAGGAGGCAGAAGTTGCAGTGAGCCGTGATCTCACCACTGTACTCCAGCCTGGGTGATGGAATGAGACCCTGTCTCAAAAAAAAAAAAAAAAAAAAAAAAAAAGGACATAAAAGACTTGACAGCTAAATGCAATATGTGACCCTGAACTGGATCCTTGATCAGAAAAGAACATTAGTAGGAAAATAGATGAAATTTGAAGATAACGTATAGGTTAGGTTAGAAAATAGTAGTATAGGCTACTCTAGCCTACTATAGGCTACTCTAGGCATACTGCCTATGGGGTACCCCTGCTCTACAAGGAGCAGTAATATATATACATATATATATTGTATATATATTATGAAAATAGCATTGTTATCAGTGTTGATTTCCTGATTTTCAAGACAGTACTGTGGTTAAGTATATTAATGTTTTTGTTTTTAGGAAATACAAGTATTTAGAGGAAAGGGGGCATTATATCTGCAAATTACTCTCAAACATTTCAGAAAAAATATTCTCTCATGTATACATACATACATAGAGATAGACAGATGGGAGGGTATATGGGAGAGTGGATGGATGGATGGATGGATGGATGGATGGATGGGTTGGTGGGCAGGTGGGTGGGTAGGCAGATGGATAGATAGATCAATGCATAGATGGGCAATGCCCAGTCTAGATTAAGAGTATCTAAGACTTGAAATTTCAGAGGAAGCGTGGTTTAACTTGTCTTCAATATTTGTTTTGTTCTTAGAGCTTAAATATTGAAGGCCTCCCATCCAAGGGCCCTATACCACCCTGGTTGGTAAGTGAAAGTTATTTAATTTCAGGCCCATATTTTCAGGCTGTGTTTGCATAGCTATTAAAAACCATTTCAGGCCAGGCGCGGTGGCTCATGTCTGTAATCCCAGCACTTTGGTAGGCTGAGGCGGATGGATCACTTGAGGTCAAGGGTTCAAGACCAGCCTGGCCAACATGGTGAAATTCTGTCTCTACTAAAAATACAAAAATTAGTCGAGCATGATGGTGCATGTGCCTATAGTCCCAGCTACCTGGGAGTCTGAGGCAGGAGAATCACTTGAACCCGGAAGGTGGAGGTTGCAGTGAGCTGAGATCATGCCACTACACTCCAGCCTGGGCTGCAGAGTGGGAATGGATTCGGGCAACGGAACTCATTCTAACCGCAGGAGGCCAAGCCTGTGTGGGTGTTGTAGATGCCTCCTGTGCCCCCTGCATTCCTCTGGGTTCCTCATTTAAGCGTCCACATAGATCCCTGAAATTGAAAGGATCCAGCAAAAGAAATGCTGGTTGTTCTGGGATCCTGAGCTGGGAGGGTCCTTAAAAAACAATAACAGCAGCAACCACAGAAACCATTTCAAACAAGCGTAACTTCTTGCCATTTAAAAATTTGCTGGTTGTGTTTAGATGTAAGAAATATATTAACCTTCTTATTTTTTTTCTTTTTATTTTTTTGAGACAGAGTCTTGCTCTGTCGCCCAGGCTGGAGTGCAGTGGCGCGATCTCGGCTCACTACAAGCTCTGCCTCCCAGGTTCATGCCATTCTCCTGCCTCAGCCTCCCGAGTAGCTGGGACTACAGGCGCCCGCCACCATGCCCAGCTAGTTTTTTGTATTTTTAGTAGAGACAGGTTTTCACTGTGTTAGTCAGGATGGTCTCGATCTCCTGACCTTGTGATCCACCTCCTCGGCCTCCCAAAGTGCTGGAATTACAGGCATGAGCCACCGTGGCTGGCCTATATTAACCTTCTTTTGCTGTCTTTCTTCAGTTGGATATAAAATACCTGTCACCATTGTTGCTGGCTTATGAAGATATAATGAAAGAGAAGGACGAGCTCAATGCCACCCTCAAGGTAGGCTGGCAAATGTCTCAGAAGAGACAAGATTTATAAAATATAGGACTGCTTCAAATTTTATAGAAACATTTTGAATGTAGGTATACCCAGCATATTATAGATAATCAAATGTTTATTAGAGGACAGAAAGGAGGAAGGAAGGAGCGTGGCAGGGTGGGATGGAGGGAGGGAGGGAAAGAAGGAAGAGGGGAGGAAGTAAGGGAGTGATTGGCAGAGCGGGGGGGGGGTGGATAGGGAGTGAGGGGAGAATTATGGAGGGTCAGAGCAGTGCTGCATGAGAAGCCATGGCTTTCTGGACAGCCAGCCCATATGGGCTGAGATCTGGGGGTGCAGGGAAGACAGCAGTGGGGAAGCGCTTCTTTCTGGTACTCTGCAGCTGCAAACACCACCATTAGAAGGGCCATTTGTGCTGGGCATGGTGACTCACGCCTGATATCTCAGCACTTTGGGAGGCCAAGGTGGGTGGATCACTTGAGGTCAGGAGATTGAGACCATCCTGGCCAACATGGTGAAACCCTGTCTCTACTAAAAATACAAAAATTAGCTGGTGTGGTGGCACGTGCCTGTAATCCCAGCAATTCGGGAGGCTGAGGCAGGAGAATGGCTTGAACCGGGGAGTTGGAGGTTGCAGTGAGCTGGCATTGCATCACTGCACTCCAGCCTGGCGACCGGGCAAGATTCTGTCTCAAAAACAAAACAAAACAAAACAAACAAATAAAAGAAGGGCTATTTGGGCAGACATGGGAAGGAAAGGCTGGAGATGTTTTAGGCAAACTTAGATGCTTCTTAATTCTAGGATGAGCTGACCCTAGGGAAGTCCGATTGCTGAGCTGTTTGACATGGAGAAGAAGTGGGGTTTTTATCCATTTCTGCCTTGTCCACCGCCGTTTTGTGGGAATGGCTTTGGGCAGTGGAGCTCGTTCTAACCGCAGGTGCAGGTTAGAGAGGCTTCCCATGCCTCCTGCATTCGTCTGGATTCCTCATTTAAGTGTCCATATAGATCCCTGAAATTGAAGGATCCAGTGAAAGAAATGTTGGTTGTTCTGGGATCCTGAGCTGGGAGGGTCCTTTAAGAGGCTCCCAGCTTGTTCCTCATCAGTAATACTGTCCTGTGTCCATGTCCCGTGGAAAGGAATTTTAATCCTTTTCATTTAGACTTAGTGTTGGATGCTTAATTTTCTAAGAGCATGTATGAATCTTGTACTAATTGAGTATATAACAGTCCTAATAACTAATAATATTATTATTTTGGTGCTCCTTCTAAATCAGGGTCAGCACACACTTTCTGTAAAGGGCAAGTTAATAAGTACTTTAGGCTTTGGAGGCCATGCAGTTTCTGTTTGCACCTGCTCAGCCCTGCTGTTGCAACATGAAAGCAGCTGAGGATAACATGTAAATAATGGGCGAGGCTGTGTTCCAATAAAACTTTATTTATAAAAACAGCCAACTGGTTTGCACACTTTAGTTTGCCTGACCCCCGTTCCAAAAAAGAGTCACATGGACTGCCAGCAGTGAGTGAGTGTGTCTGGGTGGAGGGATGAGAGGAGAAGCTACTTGATAGTGCTGCTTTAAGTTAAAAGGGTGTAAGCATAAACATCTGACAGCTGGGAGTAGAATATTTTAGAGGCACACCAGAGTAAATATTGGCACCTCAGATTCTCACCAAAGGACAGTGCAGGACACAGAAGCTCGAAAAGCCCTGATGGCGGAGGCTCAGCTGAAGTGTCACATACACAGACTGTTGGGAGCTGAAACAGACATAGACTGTTAGGCATCAAAACCGGCCCAGCGACAGACCTTGTGTTGCGGCTAATGGCCAATTAAGCTCTGCAGACTGATGATGCTAGTAAGACACTTTCTCATGGTTGTCATGGACAAAACTAATAGCCTTGGCTGGATGTGGTGGCTCATGCCTGTAATCCCAGCATTTTGGGAGGCTGAGGCAGGAAGATTGCTTGAGCCTAGGAGTTCAAGAGCAGCCTTGAGTAACATGGCAAAACCTTGTCTATACACAAAATACAAAAATTAGCCAGGCATGGTGGCACAGGTACTTGGTAAGCTGAGGTGGAAGGATCACTTGAGCCTAGGAGGTTGAGGCTGCAGTGAGCTATGATTGCACTACTGCACTCTAGCCTGGGCGACGGAGCAAGACCCTGTCTCAAAAAAAAAAAAAAAATTAAGAGCTTCCTCCAACTCCCACACTAACTAACCCGTTCCCTACCAAATCTAGCTTTAATTAAGGATGAAAAGGTCTTTTTTTATATTAAAAACCTCTAATTTATTATCCTGCATCTTTAAACAAAGGAAAAATGTCAGTGTTGATAGGCATCTCTGCCTTTTCTATTAGTATTCAGCAGTTAGAGAACAATGTTAGCAAATTAGGAATCCAATATTGAAAGTCCAGGTTCTTTGCCTCTTGTACTTGGCCTTGCATTTGGTCCTAGTGCTTTCTCACTAGACGGTAGGCTCCCTGAGAGCAGGCACCACTCGTGCTGGTACCGAGTGTTGAAGGTTGGCCTGTTGTGAGACCTTGCTAAATGGCTGTTACCATTTGATTTTAGTCACCGCAGCAGCACCAGAACTGAGAAATACAGATGTGTGGGTATGTGTGTGTTATAATTTACGTACATTTTATTTCAGGAGGAAATGAGAATGTTTAGGATGCGAGTCCAAGAAGTGGTGAAAGAAAATGAAGAATTGCACCAAGAGTTAAATAAGAGTAGTGCTGTTACCAGTGAGGAATGGCAAGTGGCATTGTGTTTCTGCTCTTTTGCTAACTTAAAACAAATGATAATAAGAAAATATGTTATAAAATTATCAAATACATAATTACATTCTTAAATATTTTAAGGGAAAGTTTCTAAGAAATTAATAAGGTATAATAAAACCCTAATAAATTATTCTAAACTTATATTTTAAAGATGACTTTAAAAATTCTAAGTAGGTTCTCAAACCTGAAATATAGTTGCTTTCTGCTTTTTATATTCTGAGGTGGTATTTTTCTAGGGTGATTTTTCCATCTTAGACCTGGAGAGTCTCATCCCTTCTTAGGCCCCAGCGATGGCTCCCAGGGTTTGAGAACAGAAAGCTCAAAATGGCCTCCCAAAACAGAAAGCTCATGAGGCTTGCATGACCAGCTCCCATCCGCCCTGCCCTGGCAGATTCCCTGACAACTGAGGTTGCCCCACTTCCAACCTGTCCTTCCTCCGAAAGCCCCTCTGCACTCCTCACCCTCTAGGTCCTACTGGAATGGTGCTTGTCTATAGCGTTGCCTTCAGGAGAGGCCATTATTGCTCCCTTGTGTCTGTTTTCTCTTCTCTTCTCTTCTCTTCTCTTCTCTTCCTTTTCTTTTCTTTTCGAGACAGAGTCTCGCTATGTTGCCCAGGCTGGAGTGCAGTGGCATGATCTTGGCTCACTGCAACCTCTGCCTCCTGGATTCAAGCGATTCTCCTGCCTCAGCCTTCTCAGTAGCTGGGATTACAGGCATGTGCCACCACGCCCGGCTAATTTTTGTATTTTTAGTAGAGGTGGGGTTTCACCACATTGGCCAGGCTGGTCTGGAACTCCTGACCTCATGTGATCTGCCTGCCTTGGCCTCCCAAAGTGCTGGGATTATAGGCATGAGCCATCGTGCCCGGCGTCTCTGTTTCTTAAGTTGTTTTAGAGTTAGGGTCTCACTCTGTCGCCCAGGCTGGAGTGTAGTGGCTCCACCATAGCTCACTGCAGCCTCAACCTCCTGGGCTCAAGCCATCCTCCCACCTCAACTTCCCAAGTAGCTGGGACTACAGGTGTGCCCTACCATGCCCAGCCATTTTAAAAAATTTTTCATAGAGACAGTCTGGCTGTGTTACCCAAGCTGGTCTCAAACTCTTGGGCTCCAGTGATCCTCCCATCTTGGCCTCCCAAAGTGCTGGTATTGCAGGCATGAGCCACTGCACGCGGCCCCTTGTCTCCAGTTCTGATGTACCCCTAAACACATGCCCTATCCCAGTACCTGCCACACTGTGCCTGACTATCCTGTCTGCCTCCACATCTGCCTCCATCTTCTCCTTTGTGAACTCTGCAAGGGCAGGAACCAGCGTCCTGCTCATTTTTGTGTGTGGCCCCGCATCTAGCACAGCAACAGCAAATGCCTGTTAACTGAATTAGAGAAAGTATACGTCTTGAAAAGCCTAAAAGCAATATCTAGGCAGGACTAAGAAAACAAAAAGTATTCACTTTGAGTAGGTATGTTATATTTAGTGTTTTCAAATGGCCTTAGCATCACTGGAAAAAATGAAGTATTTTCTATATGTGATGTTTAGAAATCTGGAATTGAGTCAACAGCACTCTTACCATTGGCTCTCCCTGATTTTGTAGTCACCGATGCATCAGGTGGGACTGGCCCAGGCAACTCCTGGGTCTTGGTGCTTTGTGACCTCCCTGGCTGAGCTTGGATTTTCTTCCGTCAGGGTTCCTAGTGTGTCTCCCCTCGCACCCTCCTTGAACAGTGGCCTGGAAAGCAGCTTAGCCAGGCTGGGGCTCAAGAGATCTTGTCAGATTCTGGAACCCCGTGTTCCTTCCCTAGCCTTGTATATAGCCACAAATCCAACTTGTCTGCGTTTCCTTGAAATAAAATCAACGAAACACAGGAAAGAAAGGCAGGCCCTGCTTTCAAATGCTTTCAAGGGGCTCAAGAGACCTTGTAAGATTCTGGACCCCCGTGTTCCTTCCCTAGCCTTGTATATAGCCACAAATCCAACTTGTCTGCGTTTCCTTAAAATAAAGTCAACGAAACAGAGGAAAGAAAGGCAGGCCTTGCTTTCAAATCCACAGCCCCGCAGTGTTCCCCAATCCTGTGTTTGTTGGGATTTGAAATCTGCCCTTTGCTCTAGCATGATGGCCCACACCAGCGTGGGGAGAACATCGGGCTTGCTCAGGGCCTCCCTGAGCAATTCTTTGAATTCACTGCCCTCAAGCTGCAGGAGGGTCTCTGGGCTCTGGAGCATCATACTTGGTGGGCAGAGCTCCTTGCTGCTCTCAGTACCTACACACATGCACGGCTGCTAAACCTGCACGCAGCACTTGGTACACAGACTTCACACTACAGCAGACGCTTTCTTTCTTTCTTTCTTTCTTTTTTTTTTTTTGAGACAAAGTCTTGCTCTGCCATCCAGGCTGGAGTGTAGTGGTGCAATCTTGACTCACTGCAACCTCCACCTCCCGGGTTCAAGTGATTCTCCTGCCTCAACCACCCGAGTACCTGGGATTACAGGCGCCCACCACCATGCCTGGCTAATTTCTTTTTGGATTTTTAGTAGAGATGAGGTTTCACCACGTTGGACAGGCTAGTCTCCAACTCCTGACCTCAGGTGATCCACCTGCCTCGGCCTCCCAAAGTGCTGGGATTACAGGCATGAACCTCCACACCTGGCCCAGCAGACACTTTCTGATTGGTTGCCAGTAATTTCTCAATGAACTTCTGGGCTGCAAGTAAATTTTGTATATTTCTTTTCCTAACTTCCCCTGAATCACTGGCTAACCTCAGGCTTAATGGGTCTGTTTCTTTCTCTATAAAATAAGAGGGAGGCTGGATGCAGTGGCTCATGCCTATAATCCTAGCACTTTGGGAGGTTGAGGTGGGAGGATCAGTTGAGGCCAAGAGTTTGAGACCAGTGTGGCCAACATGGTGAAACTGCTTCTCTACTAAAAATAGAAAAATTAGCCAGGCATGGTGGCGCATGCCTGTAATCCCAGCTACTCGGGAGGCTGAGGCGGGAGAATCACTTGAACCCAGGAGGCAGAGGCTGCAGTGAGCCAAGATTGTGCCACTGCACTCCAGCCTGGGCAACAGAGTGAGACCCTGTCTCAAATAATAATAAAATAAATAAGTAAAACAAAACAAGAGGGAGTGTTGAACCAAATCTGAGATTTTGAACTTTTTTTTAAGAATGGGGGATCAATCCCTTTCATTTTAAAAAGAAATGGCTCAGGTTCAGTGGTTCACCCCTGTAATCCTAATGCTTTGGGAGGCTGAGGTGGGAGGAGCACTTGAGGCCGGGAGTTTGGGGCTGCAGTGAGCTATGATCACACCACTGTGCACCAGCCTAGGCGACAGAACAAGACCTTGTCTCAAAAACAAAACAAAAACAAAACAATTAAAAATTAGCTGGGCATGATGGCATGCACCTGTAGTCCTAGCTAGTCAGGAGGATCTGTTAAGCCCAGGAATTCAAGCCTACATGAGCTCTGATGGTGCCACTGTACTCCTGTCCTGCCTGGGTGACAGAGCAAGACCTTGTTTCTAAAAAATAAAAACTAAAATGAATGAAGGGAGGGAGGAAGGAAGGAATGAACAAATGAATGAATGAACCTAAGTCTTATAAGTTAGTCCAAAACGCAGCCGGGCATGGTGGCTCACGCCTGTGATCCCGGCACTTTGGGAGGCCGAGGCGGGTGGATCACCTGAGGTCAAGAGTTCCAGACCAGGCTGGCCAACATGGAGAAACCCTGTCTCTACCAACAAATACGAATATAAAAATTAGCTTGGTGTGGTGATGCATGCCTGTAATCCCAGATACTCAGGAAGCTGAGGTGGAGGTTGCAGTGGGCCAAGATCTCACCACTGCACTCCAGCCTGGGCAACAGAATGAGACCCTATCTCTCAATAAATAAATAAATAAATAAATAAATAAATAAATAAGTCTAAAACATAAAACAGACCATCATGGAGCTGCCCAGTTTGTGGCGGGAATGAGGAGGCTAGCACAGACCAGTTTTGGGTGAGTCCCCTCCTGACAGCATGGCAGCCTACTCTGTAGGTGCTGGTAGCAGGCAAGAGACACCCCCACAGTGCCCAGGAGCCAGTCAGTGCACAGCCACTGTTGGGGCCACACCATTGTTACAGCCTGACTCCTTTCATCTTGTCTGTTTCCTTCCTCCTCCTTACCTTTAGGGTTTCAAGTGGAAAATCGAGATTGTTTACTGCTTTAGTAAGTAAACTTACCACCCAGTGTACTTTGGTGGTCAACATTTCACTAGATGATTTCTAAGGTCCCTTCAGCTCATTCTAATCAGAATTTGTGGTCTTGAGGGCTGAGCTGGGCTGGGGTTTACACTGCACTGGAAGCAGAGGATTTGCTTGTGCTTGAGAGGAAGGCTGGGGCAGATTCATACGGTTCTAAGAAACCATTTCAAAGCCTGCTAACAGAGTCTTTTTTTTTTGCAAATATGCTACTGATTACAAAGGAGTATTTTAAAATTAAAATGGAAACTTACTGTGTCTTTAAATATGTTCCATATGGGCTTCAGAATAATATAGTGGGTGGCAGGACTAGAGGTTTATACATATGAAACCTCATCAGCCATTTAGTGACTATTCAAGCTGGGTACTGTGCACATGGGAGTCTCCTACTGTATCCTCTTTACTTCTGTACGTGTTTGAAATTCTACATCTGAAAGCGTTTCTGAAGCAGTCCGTAATTCAGACTCGCGGCTGTCCTTCCCCAAACTGACTGCAAATGGCAGGATTTGCTGCTGTGTTAATACGTTTAACATGAAGACATGGCTTGATATTCATTACCTCTAATGCACCCATTGCTTCCTTTTAGATTCCAGAGTGTTTCTGTAACCATTCAGCACCTGAATCACAGTATTTCATCTTGTAAATCAATTGCAGGCGTCAGCTTCAGACTCAAGCAAAACTGGTTTTAGAGGAAAACAAGTTGTTGCTGGAGCAGCTGGAGATTCAGCAAAGGAAAGCCAAGGACAGCCACCAGGAGCACCTCCAAGAAGGTGAGGTCCTTCCAGCGAGGACTGGCCATGCAGTGATGTCACTATTGTCATTTTACCCTTCTATCTCCCTCCTGCCGGGGGCCCCGAATGAAAATGAGAGAAGTCATGTTTTACGTTCTTGACTGAAATGCAGCTGTTTATAACCCTTCCATCTCATTACTGTCAATGCATAGATTGCTTTTTCATACTCCACAGTGTCTCTCATCATCCCATGGGTTTGTAAATCACTCGCAGGGATAGTGCTAGACTCAGCAGAACTGGTTTTGGGGTAAAATAGTACCTTAGAAATGGGAAAGATCATGCGAGGTAAACATCTGAAATAACACAGGGTCTCTTCCCAGATGTTTGTTGGATGAGTAAATAAGCAGAACCGTTCACTTTCTAAACAGTTCCCCTGTGTCCTTCCTTCCTTCGGTGCTGTGGGCACGGGAGGCGACATCTCTGCAGATTAGATCACTGTCAGACGCCTTCCGAGAGTGTCCCTCTTCCCGTGTCTTCCCATGCACTCTCCCAACCCCTAGGAGCTTCACAGTCTGGGACAGTGCACAACTGTAAGGAGGCCAGGCTAAGAGTCATCACTTCTGCTTTAAAACCACAATTGATGAGTACAAGAGATAGTGGCATTTTTTCCCTTTGTTTTACTGATTTTTCTTTCCTAGTGAAGAATGGCATAGGCTGGGAAACTGAAGCACAAGCCATCTTGCATGAGGCCGTGGCACCCCGAGAAGCAGATGGAGGTTTTCCCCTCTCCAGCTGCTTTTGGAATGGCAGCCCCTTCCATGCCATGGCAGGTCCATGAGCAGCCCCTGCTGTTGCTGCAGTTGCGGGGCTAGCACTTCCTGTTTCTGAGAACCAGGTTGTGTTTAAAGATGAGAGCATCTCCCAGAGAGGTGCACAGGAGTTTCCTCCACGTGATTTCTCCTGAGACCTGCATGGCCCAGGAGCATTTGCCTTTACTCTGGCATTGTTAAGGGGAGAGGGGAAACAGAGTTGTGGAGCCTCTTATCTTTGTTTTCAGGGTTAGGGATGACATTAGTTTCCTATTTACTGAGCTTAATTTTCTTGAACATACCAGATCTGAACAGAAAGAGGATTTCTGGTCACATGGGGTAGGGAAAACCTTTTGACCTGTGTGATCCAGTGAGTTGCCTGTGCTGTTTTCCCATTACCCAGAAACAGCCATTCACTTTGACCAATTAGATATTTTCTCTTTTTTCTTTTTTTTCTTTTTTTGAGACAGTCTCACTCTGTTGCCCAGACTGGAGTAGAGTGGCGTGATCTAGGCTCACTGCAACCTCTGCCTTCCAGGTTCCAGCGATTCTCCTGTCTCAGCCTCCCGGGTAACTGGGATTACAGTCATGTGCCACTACTTGCAGCTAATTTTTGTATTTTCAGTAGAGGGGGTTTCACCATGTTGGCCATGCTGGTCTTGAACTCCTGACCTCAAGTGACCCACCCACCTTGGCCTCCCAAAATGCTAGGATTACAGGCGTGAACCACTATGCCCAGTCACCAATTAGATATTTTCATAGAGTAGAGAGATGTACAGTTTTATGCTACAATAAATACCTCTAAGTGCTAGTGTCAGCAGATGCTCAGGAAATGTCTTATTACATACAACTATGAAACACAGGATGAAAATATTTGTGACTTACTTTAGATACAGGACATAAAATAAAAGTTTAATGAGGAAAGGCAAGGAAAATAATAAATCCGGTTCTTAGTTTAGCCATGTTTGATGTCCTTAAAAATCTTGAAAATCTTGCAGCTTTAGGGACAATGTTATGACATATGCTTGCACACCTGTGTGTGATTTAAGGCTTCAGTCTTAGGAAAGTCAGTTAGTTGAAGACTGGAATCATTTTTGGTAAAATATTATAGTGGATTTTATTTTTAAAATATATATTTAGTGAGTGCTTAATGTAGAGATAGTAATTTCTTTTGGCTTTTTTGGTTTTTGTTTTTGGAGACAAGGTCTCACTGTGTCATCCAGGCTGGAGTGCGGTGGCCCAGTCACGGCTCACTGTAGTCTTGAACTCCTGGACTCAAGCAGTCCTCCTGCCTCAACCTCCCGGATATCTGGGACCAGAGATGCATGTCACCATGCCCTGCTCATTTTTAAATTTTTATGTAGAGATGGGGTTTCACTATGTTACCCAGGCTGGTCTCAAACTCCTGACCCCAAGCAATCCTCCCCTCAGCCTCCCAAAGGGCTGGGTTTACAGGTATGAGTCACTGTGCCCAGTAGGGACAGTAATTTCTAAGGACAAAGCCTTTGGTGTTAATTTATAACACTCCAAAAGATCTTTTTTTTTTTTTTTCTGAGACAGAATCTCACTCTGTTGCCCAGGCTAGTGTGGTGGCGTGATCTCAGCTCACTGCAGCCTTTGCCTCCTGGGTTCAAGTGATTTTCATGCCTCAGCCTCCTGAATAGCTGGGATTACAGGCACCCACCAACACGCCTGGCTAATTTTTGTATTTTTAGTAGAGACAGGGTTTCACCAGCTTGGCCAGGCTGGTCTTGAACTCCTGACCTCGTGGTCCACCCGCCTCAGCCTCCCACAGTGCTGGGACAGGTGTGAGCCATCATGCCCAGCCCAGAAGATCTTTAAAAGGTCATTTTTATCAGCTGACTCTCATTAGTATTTCCTAACAGCCAATAATTGTGTTTTATGAGGTCTTCTGTGCCAAGTTTTTATCCTTCTCTTTTGATTTTCAGTTTCTAAGCTGACTAAACAACTAATGCTCCTGGAGACGAAAACCCAGGGCCAGGAAAAGGAACTGGTGGAGAACAGGGAACAGCTGGAGATTTTACGTGCCAAATGCCGAGAACTCAAAACACACTCGGATGGCAAAATCGCAATGGAAGTTCATAAATCAATTGTAAATGAATTAAAAAGGTAAGGATTTAGTGTTTTGCCTTTTTTTTTTTTTTTCCAAGGCAGGGTCTTTCTGTGTTGCCGAATGGAGAGAGGTTGCTCAGTTCAGTTCTTTCTGGGTTTCTTCACCTACGGTCATGCACAGCAGAGCGGCACAGGTGTCTGAAAGTGAGAATGGGACTTTTTTATTTTTTTGAGACAGACTCTCACTCTGTTGCCCAGGCTACAATGCAGTGGCGCAATCTCAGCACACTGTAACCTCCACCTCCTGGGTTCAAGCGATTCTCCTGCCTCAGCCTCCTGAGTAGCTGGGATTACAGGGGTGCATCACCATACCTGGCTAATTTTTGTATTTTTGGTAGAGACGGGGTTTCACCATGTTGACCAGGCTGGTCTCAAACTTCTGACCTCAGGTGATCTGCCCGCCTTGGCCTCACCTCCCAAAGTGCTGGAATTACAGGTCTGAGCCATCACACCCAGCCTGACTTTTTCTTTTAATAACTTTGGTAATAAATGGTAAATTAAAGTAGTGCCTGGCTCTCCTTGAGAGCCCTCAAGAGCAGTCTGCACTTTGTGTATGATTTTTTTTTTCATGCTGTTTTGGCCTTTATTAATTTTAGAACCAAAGGCAGTTTAAAACAGTGGAACTGGGCTGAGAGTGGTGCCTCATGCCTGTAATCCCAACACTTTGAGAGGCAGAGGCTGGCAGGTCACTTGAACCCAGAAGTTTGAGACCAGCCTGGGCAAAATGGCGAAACCACATGTCTACAAAAAAAAAAAAAAAGTACGAAAACTACAGGGGCATGCCCACCTGGCCACAGTATATTTTTAAGTAAGGAGTTCAGGTTTTAAAACAGCACATAGAAAATGATTACAATTTTATTTTTTAAGAAGTGTGTGTGGCCAGGCACGGTGGCTCATGCTTGTAATCCCAGCACTTTGGGAGGCCGAGTTGGGTGGATCACCTGAGGAGAGGAGTTTGAGACCAGCCTAGCCAACCTGGTGAAACCCTGTCTCTACTAAAAGTACAAAAATTAGACAGGCATGGTGGCAGGCACCTGTAATCCCCACTACTTGGGAGGCTGAGGCAGGATAATTGCTTGAACCCGGGAGGCGGAGGTTGCAGTGGGCCGAAATCGCACCACTGCACTCCAGTCTGGGAGACAAGAGTGAGACTTTGTCTCAAAATAAAAAAGAAATGTGTGTGTGTATGTGTGTGTGTGTGTGTGTGTGTGTGTGTGTCTGTAACCAGCTGTAACAGTTTGCTTGGGACTGAGGGGTTTCCCGGGATGTGGGACTTTTAGTGCTAAAACTAGGAATGTCCTAGGCAAAGTGAAATGAGTTGATCATTCTAGTATGTATGTATAAATGTATGTGTTTGTATAATTACATGTGTATGTGTGTATATATATAATATATATATACATATGTATGGTATGTATGTAATTTGTAATTGGCTGATTGGTAATAGTCTGGATGGGAGGATTGCTTAAGCCTAGGAGTTTGAGATCAGCCTAGGCAACAATGTGGGAAAAAAAAAATATATATATATATATAAATTTATATATATATATACACACTATATATAAATTTATATATATATACACACTATATATATACACTATATATATATAGTGGCTATTTTCTCATGTCAAAAAAAATCTTGTATGTGTATGTGAGAGAGAGATGGTATATATATTAACTAAGTATAGGAAACATACATAATATATAATAAATTATATGTATAATTGTATATAAATATTTTTATATTTATATTTATATATTTTATATAAATTATAAAATTATATATGTGTATATATAAAAAATTACATATATACTGTAAGTACATGGAAAAAAGATAGGCAGAATGGGAAAATATTAATAGAAATTATCTTTGACAGATGAGATTGTGTTTTCAACCAGGGTCTTCGAGACAAGCAACCAATAGGTTAGTGAGAAAGACAGAGAGAGTGAGATTTCTTTTAAAAATTAGCTCACACAATTGTAGGGGCAGGCAAGTTCAAAATTCATATGGCAGGCCAGCCCATTGGAAACCCAGGCAGGATCTCTATCTTACAGTTTTGAGGCAGAACTCCTTCATTGAGAAACCTGTTTTTGCTCTGAAGGCCTTAGATTAGGCTCACCTACATTAT